CAGGTTCAAGTTTTTGTTGGATTTATTGTGTAATTAGGAAAATAGACTTGAAGAAGTAAACAGGATGTTAGACAGTAATGTGTTTACAAGAAAGAAAAGCAGCAAGATAATTGGATAGAGTGATTAGGCTTATTTGTAGTGTATTACTTTAGATTTAGCAATTAGGGAAAGAGAAGGTGACATTTGACATCTAAACATCAATGCAAGATCTTTTATTGCCCATTCTGACATGGCAATCCAAGGAACTTTCCCTTTGAACCTGCCTAAAATCTTTATGGAAAGCACATCACTTCAGTGAATTCTTCATGGAATTTGGGGTGTTTGTCTCCCTTTGTCCTTCTTTTCTAGCATGCTCATTTAAAAGGAACAGATGTATCTTTTCTCCCTTGGTCACTCCCAGAATGCCTGCCATTTTCAAAGCCAATATACTGCTTGATTTAACTGGACTTTCAAGGGCAATATCTGTAACAGGCTTTCAACCTGGAATTGCACAGGCTTTGTTTCACTTATTGATCCCACTTGTGACTTCCATGTTTTATATACAATATTTAGTTCTTTATATAGCTTTTGTGTTGTGCAGGTATTTTATGCATACCACTTTTATAGGTAGGTATGTTACTATTAAGAGACAACTTAATTTTTTTAGAAATGCTCAGGCAACTGTATATACTTTACTGTATTCAAAAGGTACTGGGATCACTGAACTGGAATTAGAGCATGGTGGTGATCACAGATAGCAGTGTCTGTGTCTGTTTTCCCCCCTAAGTTTGGTTCTACATGAGATTAGAGATCTTTCCCATTTGTAGCAACAGAATTTTTTTTTTTAACTGTTAACATTTTGTGTGTTTATTTCTGGAATGTTTCTATTTTTATAAATGTGTAATTATATATATTTTTGTTTATTTATTTTATAATTTATCTTTATTGTTGATGTCCCCTATCTTTCCCCCTTCACCACATTATTGTCTGTGTCCATGAGTTATGCATATATGCATATAAGTTCTTTGATTAATCTCTTCCCATTCGCCCGTGCACCTCTTTCCCTCTGAGATATCTGTCTGTTCCCTATTTCCATTTTTCTGGGTTTATTTTGTTCATCAGTTTATTTTATTCATTAGATTCTACATATAAGTGAAATCATATGATACTTGTCTTTCTCTGACTGGCTTATTTTGCTTAGCATAATACTCTCCAGGTGCCTCCATGTCGTCTCAAAGGGTAAAAGATCCTTCTTTTTTACAGCTGCACAGTACTATGCAACAGGATTGTTTTTGACCGTAGGTATCAGTCCCTGCTCTCTACAAATCCTCTGGCTTTATGTGTCTTCCTTGTGCTGCATGTCTCATAGACATCCTTAGGCAGAGACTTTATCAGCCTCTATAGACTGACCTGCTCAACTTAGAGTAAATATAATGATCTCTAAAGGTGATAGAAAAATATTTGATAAAATTCAACAGTCATTTCTGATTTTTTAAAAACTTGGTAAGATAGGAATCGATGAATACCTTCTTAATCTTATTAGAAAGAAATTCTAATCAAAATGCATTATTATGCTAAACATTTGAAAAGTTCCTAATAAAGAGTTGAACATCATAATTGCTTGACACTTGACATTGTGGAAATGCCAGCCAAAGTTGAAAAGTGAAAAATATAATGTCTGATACTGAAAAGAAGGAGCAGTACTTACAGTTTAAAAATATGGTAATATAGTGAAGACACAAGAAGATCACGAGACACAAATTTCGGCATGTTTTCTGGTGTTTAAATACTACTCTATAAAGAATCCATTTATAATAGCAGCAAAAAATATTGAGTAGCAAAGAAGGTAAAGAATGCTTTGAATAAGCCTAAGGACTATATAGGACCTGTAAAAAGACAATTGTAGTTAAATATAATGTTAAAAAATACTAATAACACATATAATAAACTGGTTTTAAAGTTTATTTAGTGAAATAAATATGTGCAAATAGCTTAAAAAATTCCAAGGGTAAAATATTGATGTGGAGTGGATAGGGAAACTAGCCCTTATTCCAGAATATTAAAACATAATATGAAAGGCACAGTTATTAAAATAGTTTAGTGCTAACACTGAAATAGATCAATAGACTTCAGCAAAAAACCCAATGTATAAATACATTTAATATATGTTAAAATTTGTTTTTCAAATCAGAAGGGAAAAAAAGATGACTTATTCTTCAACATGTGGGCATAGCCAGCTAGTAGTTTGGATAAATATAAGTCCAGTCTTTACCTTGTTTTTATATAAGAATAAAATCACAAATGGGCCAAATATGCAAATATTGAAAATAAAACTAGAAGAGCGATGAAAACCTCTGAATTTTAAAAATTAATTTGGTTAAGGGAAAATCTTTCTAAATGTGACTGACACAAGTTTCAAAAGCTAAAAAAAGATTGATATATTTGATTACATAAAAATTAAAATGCCGAAGTTCATTAAACAACAAATACTAAAAAATATGCTGGGAGGTATCGGAGTGGGTATTTGCTACATATTTGGTAAAGGGCAAACATTCTTAAAAACCTAGAGTCCCCTTATAAATTAATAAAAAGATGAAGGCAAATGTGTAAAATATACAAACAATCTATAAATACATAGAAATAGCCAGGAAATAGGCAAGGATGTTCAGTCTTCCTGATTAATTAAGAAATTTAAATTAAAGCAAGATACTGTTGCCCGGCCCGTGTGGTTCAGTGGTTGAATGTAGACCCATGCACCAAGAAGTTGCTGGTTCAATTCCTGGTCAGGGCACATGCCCAGGTTGTGGGCCAAATCCCCAGTGGGGAGCATACAGGAGGCTGCCAATCGATGTTCTCTCTCATCTGTGTTTCTGTCTTTCTCTTCCTCTCTCTCCAAAAAATCAATAAAGAAAAAATTAATTTAACGCAAGATGGTTTTGGATCTATCAGACTGACAAAGATTTGCTTACTGGTGATGACAAGGGTGTAGGAAAATCTCATATATATCATTTGTAGAAGTGTGAATTGATATAACCTTTTTGGAAGGAAATTTAGCAGTACCTGTCAAAATCAAAAATGCTCCTGTCTTTGCTAGCAGTTACACTTAGAAGAATTTATCCCAGGGGTTACTCAGAGATATATGTGAAAGAATATTTGTTGTTTCATTGTGGATAATGGTAAAACTTTGAAAAAGGCAGATAAATGTATTATCAGGTGACAGGTGTACTGAATTATGTATGGTATACCTATTCAGTGGAATACAATAAGAGTGTTTAAATAAAATTAGATAGTATTCATGTTTAATAACATTGATTTTGTGTCCGTTAAGCATGTGGTCTGCACTCCTATTCGGTTCAGAGGTTTTATAAAGATCTAACAGCACTTCCTCTTTCAGAGACTTCCCTACCCTTTCTTCTGCCAATACACTCCTGACTTTAACTTGTAGGCTTTATCACAGTCCAAAAGTAATGACAGTTTTTCCTCTAGATTTTACTGTAATTTTGGTGGGCAACCGGGCAGATTTCATCACTCTACTTCTGCACTAGAGGTATTACATTGGCCAAGTGTAAGAGATACCACTCCTTGAACCAGAATCAGTGTAAGACCCATATTGTAATTGACCTCTAAAATATTGTTAAAACCCACTGTCTGCAGTCTCTTGACATTATAGTTTTTCCAATCTTGTATTTAATAGGGTGTGGGGTTTCTTTAACTAAGAGCTTCTTAAACAAGGCTATTCCATATCGCATGTTCTTTACCAGTTCTAACATCTGAACTTTCTTCTCTATTCTGATACACACATGGGCCATTTTCAAGTCATGGTCTTGCCAAGAAAAGGCTCTCCATGTTTAATATGATAAAATGACAAGTGGTTATCCTCTCCCTAAAAGTACAGAAAAATTCTGATATAAAAAACACAGTCATTTCTTTCACAACCATACAGAGGTAAGTCTTTTGCATTGAGTTGGTTGAGACCCTTTGTGGGGCTCTTTATAAGTAGTCCTTGATCACAAAATAGCATCTCCTAGAAACAAGTTATACTTGAACACTTGTTAAATGATTCTGTTAAAAACTATTTTGAATCCCTGTAGAGGAAAAGTATTGCATATGATGCATTCATCTGCAGTAACACTGTATTATTTAGGTTTTTCCATCTTCTTCAACATTTCTCCAGAAGTTATCTTTTTCCTCCCAAACTTTTAAAATGCCATTAATTGTGATCTTTTGGGAAAAGTCAAAAGTAGAAAGAAAGCTCTGTTTATTTAATTTAAAAACTCAGGCCTGTTTTATTTTTAAAGAATTCTCTTCAACCTGATCTCGACTTCAGTGTCTAGTTTCTATAGCAACTGAGTTAGGTGCTGGGTCAGAAAAGAGAAATCTTTTGATGTTAAAAATTTGATTTTTAACCTAGAGAGGGATGATAACAGGCAACAAGCCTGACAGCTTTTCCCAGGCTGATGCCTACCTTCTGTTTCCAGGAATTCTGTATTTTTTCCTCAAGAGGCCAGACATCTCTTTTAACACAGCCCCAGAAAAGACTGCTGCATCCCTGTTCAACAACTTAATCACAATCAATTTAATTGATTAATCAAATCAAGGCAGCTAAGAGAGAGAACTCTTTTGTGGAGAAACTGTAGTGGAATTTCTTTTTTTTTTTTCAAATGGAATGTCTGGGAGTTACGTGAATTGTCTCTTTTCTTAACCTTGGATTCCTTAACAGTAACTTTTTTTTTTTTTTTTTCGTTTTTTTGGTCTCTTGTTCAAGTGTGATTGGAATAATCTCAAATGGTACTTTATTGTATATTCTCAGTCTATTGGGATTAGGGTGTAGACACTAGACCTACTGCATCACTTAGGTGAGGAGATGTTGGAGGTGGGATGTTTTTAGTGTCACCCACTAGAAAAGATAACATCAAGGAGGTGGTGTAGGTACTTAATGTTATAGCTTCATAAATGGAAATTAACTCCTTTTTTTTAAGTTGTTGAAGCTGGAAGAAGATTAATGCCTTTTTATATTGTAGGAACTACCTTCAGTTGAAGAAGTCACTATTATTCTGCCTGAAGATATTGAATTAAAACCTCTTGGGATGGTTTCAAGTATTATTGAACAATTAGGTATGTAAGTAATTTTATTAATAAAAGTTACTGTATATATATATATCGAGGCAATGTATTAATAATCGAATCAGTGATTTTATGACTAGTGAATTTTGAACAGGTAAATTCAGTTTTACTTATAAAGTAATTCATAAATACATTTTCTTTATAAATATTTGAAGTCTGCTTTTACCGACATGTTTCTCCAGAATTGTCTTTGATGTGCAATATTTGTTTTTTATTGCTATTAGATTACTACAAATTTAGTGGCTTAAAACAATACAAACATAATATTTTATAGTTCTTTGGGCTAGAAGTCTGATATGAGTCTAAGTTAAAATCAAGGGGTCTATCAGGATTAACTTTTTTGTGGAGGTCCTAAGGGAAAATCCATTTTCTTTCCCCATTTAGCTTCTAGCGGCTGCCCTCACTCCTTGGCTTGAGACCCCCTTCCTTCATCCTCAAAGCCAATACGTAATGTAACCTCTCTGAACACAGCCTGGAAAGGTTTTCTGCTTCTTAGATTGTGCCTTCATGCGTCATCTAGGATAATCACTCCATCTCAAGGTTCTTAACCTTAATCACATCTGTAAGAAAAAAAAATTTTTTTAATGTAAGGTCACATATTCACAGGTTTAGGGATTAGGGTGTGGATATCATTTTTGTAGGGAGGACATTATTCTGCTTACCACTTTTGATTTTATTTTATAAACATGTAACTTAGCCTTGGCCGGTTTGGCTCAGTGGTTGGAGCATTAGCCTGTGGACCAGAGAGTACCGGGTTAGGATCCTGCTAGGAGCATGTACCAAAAACAAAAACAAAAAACTCCCAGGACTTTAAATAATGATCCAAATAAAATAAATATTAAACATGTAATTTAGAAAGGTCTGTGATGTAATACTGATATTAATGGCTATGAACATTAATGAACTATGAAGCTGTTGGATATAACTTGAAAAGGTAGGTATTGAAAGGCTTTGAAATTAATGTGGCTGCCATTAACTCTCATGGGGAGATACATCTGAGAATAGTTATAGGCTTTTTGAGCTGGGAAAAAGACGTAGATTGTCCACCAGCCCCTTCAGTTTACAGGACTTAAGAGACACAGAAAAATTTGTCACTTGCTTTTATGATCCATTGCATAATGAGCCATTAGTAGAAATCAGACTTCATCTTCTGACCTTTTCTAACTGTGTACATATCAACATTTTAAAAAATTTATATAAATTTGTGCTTTTGTAATTTATTAATCAAAATTTTTATTAAAATGGAACATTTTTATAATTATAGTTATAACTATACATGATTCTCAAGTTATTACATTAGTTTTTGAGTCATCATGTGGTATTTAATAATATGCATATCAAACTTGATTTTATAGTGTGAGTTGAGCATTAATTACATGGTGTATATAGGAAAAATGTAGATCATGTTTATCCTCAATGAATAAAGTGTAAATATATGATACACATGAAATAATGCTATTTAAAGATACTGTTTTTACTAATATATCCTAATTGACTAACAAAATTCTCATGTTAGTGGGAATATAGATTGAATGAATCAAAATCAGCACATGCTACTCTATTTTGAAGGCCTAAAATATCTAACATTAAGACCAAATTATAAACAAGAAAATAAATATTAATATACTAGGCAAAAAATATCTGTGAATTCAAATAAGAGCCCAGAGATGGGGAAAAAAAAGAGGATTTGGTTTTGTACTCTGTAGTTCCTATAGAGTTATAAAAGGCTACTTAGATTTTATCCATCTGAGTAGAAATGGAGAGATTTCATGAAATTAAGGATGTATGTATTAGCACATATTTTCAGAGTATTGATAGCCTTTGAAAAATTTTATCAATGTAAGGTACACACTCTAAATTTATTTGTATCTAACTACCTGAAATTGTCTTCCACCTAAAATTATGATAATAATGGAATGGGCCACTAGTTGTGTTATAAGGAGAGCGTTGGAACTAGGGATATAGGTTCTAGTGATAGATAACTGGTTGTGGAATTGGTCACATGATACTTTTATTCTTTTGAGTCTGTTATCTTGTCTTTAAGATGAGAGTATTGGATTAAGTGATTTTTAAAATTTTCGTGTAATTTGACCCTTGGGAAGAGGTAATTAATTCTGTTAGTGCTCACTATCCTCATCTTTATTCAGAAAAGATCTAACTGAAAGAGTGTTGACTCATGATCTGTTACTATGTGTGTATATACATATTTTCAGAATTTAGAAGCACTAGCTACTGCCCACCATGCCCTCACCCCATTGCCATCTAGCCCTGGTCTGGGGGCCCCCTAGTCCTTCGTCCCTCCCAGATCATCTCACCCCCACCCTCATACTTGGAGTGAATGTGAACTCGCAGATGGCAAAGGCCCTAGTCCCACCCCTCCAGCCCACCTAGCAATTGCCCCCTTCTTGCCCTGGGGGCCTAGGGTGTAGATATTTTACATAGCTTTCTAAATCCCTTTCTTTCTGTGTACTTTTTTATTTAAGAAGGTGGAATCCCAGGTGGGAATGCTCCACAATAACGTCTGTCAGTGTTTAGAAAAAAAAAATTACTTGGGATATAGTTGAAATTTTTTAATGAATTTGAATAATCTGAACTAACATATTTTTCCTAAGTGAAGATGACATTTGTCTTTGTAATGTGACAAAGTATTCTTTTTTTTTTTTTTTTTTTAATCCTCACCCGAGGACATTTTTCGATATTTTGTTCAGATAGAGCGGGAGGGAGAGAGAGAGAGAAACATCGACGTGAAAGGGACACATCGAGTGGCTGCCACCCACACGACCCAACCAGGGCCGGGGACAAACTGCAACCAAGGCACGTGCCCTTAGCGGGAACCGAACCCGGGTCTCTCCGGACCGCAGGCCGACGCTCTAACCACTGAGCCAAACTGGCCAGGGCGACAAAGTAATCTTGCTTGTTGCTCTAATTTTCTAAGAACCTATCTTTTTCCCCCTGTCTGTGCTGTATGGATTGGTTGTTTAACATTTGTGGCACTTACAAGAATTGGAGTATGCTAGACTAGTGGAATAATGCTTTTGCTTTTTGAGAAGAGAAGTGATAAAAATTACTGTGTGCTCTATCATTCTTCATCTATTCATTGGAAGATGCTTTTGTGAACTTAACTTTTTCGTATAGCAGTAAGTAATCAGTCCTTCACAGAAAAGAACTTCTGGAGTGAGAAGGAAGACTAATTTCTTCTAAAACAGGAGTTTTGTGACTAAATGACACTTTCTGTGGGTAAACATTGCTTAAGAAAATGTACACAGCTTGAATTTGTTGACTTTTAAAGGGTGAGTCAAATTTTCTGTGAACTTTTACACTTTAATTTTCTTTCTTAGAATTGTAGCTTTTTGTTGTTGTTAATCCTCACCCAAGGATATTTTTTCCATTGATTTTTTTAGAGAGAGTGGAAGGGAGGGAGGGAGAGAGAAACATTCATGTGAGAGAGACATATTGATTGGTCGCCTCCTCCATGTGACCCCACCAGGGCAACCTGCAACCCAGGTACATGCCCTTGACTGAAAATCAAACCTGAGACCCTTCGTTGTGCGGGCGGATGCTCTTACCACTGAGCGACATCTGCTGGGGCAGAATTGTAGCTTTTTGTATTATAAAAATATGTGAAATCTATTTTCCTGTGCTATATGGTAATAAATAGACTATTTATCCAAGAGGAATAGTAACTGAGGCACATTATTGCACCTTAAATTTCATATTAAATTATGTTGGTATTAAAGCCTAAATTCTAATTTAAATTCTGTATTATCTTCTGATTAAATCCTGAAATAATCTGTTTTGTTTCATTTTTCAGTAATAATTGAATCTATGACTAAACTACCTCCAGTTAATGAAGAGACTGTAATTTTTAAAAGCAATCGGCAGGCAGCAGGAAAGGTTTGTAAAAAAAAATTCAAATTCTACAAATTATTTTGTTTCTTTGTTGATTAGTGTTTTTGACTTTGTCCTAAAAAGTTTATTAATTTTAGTAGATTAGCAATCTAGAGCTCTCAGATTGTACATTCTTAGTACATCTTGATTTTCTTTAATACTTTGTATATTGGTTTTATACTGCTTATTACTCTTTCATGCCTGAGTCATTACATATACATGCATAGAATTTTTCTTAATACTTTGTCAAGTATTTTGCTAGGCAATGGCTCTACATATTGAATAAGACATAGTTCCCTACTCTCTAGGTACTCAGAGTTAAGTACTGGAGACTTTTTCTACCATGTCTTAATTCTGAAACTTTTTTGGATTATGAGTCCTGTTGGTTGAGTAGTGGCTCTCAGAACTCTTTAGACTTTGATTTCCTTAAGTGGAAAAAGATTTCAGTGATAGCAGTAACGTTTCACTGTGAGCACATTCTAGGGAATTACAAATACATGTAATTAAGTACTCACCATAAAGTGGGTTTTTTTCTTATCATCTTAATAATGGAACAACCCTGGGATTCCAGAATGGCAGCAGAGTGAATGGAAGCTACACAGACCATCTCCCAGGACCAAACTGGAATTACAACGAAAATAAAGAAATTGTCAGGAAAAAGCAACAGAAAAGCAGCTTGCGAGGACCATAAAACCAGGGACACTGACTCAATCCTGGTAAGATTGCAGAGGCACAAGAGGGGGCCTGGGAGCCCACGGACCGCAGCGGCCTTAGCTGTGAGCAGCGCCCTTGGGGTTATACTCCCAAGCAGCTCCACAGTGCAGAGCAGGGACAGACGGTAAAAAGGCCACAGCCACTCACCTTGGACTCCAACACAGGGAGGGCAGATTGGACTGGAACTCTGTCGGAACACTCGGGATTTGTAAGGCGCTCAGAGCTTTTGCTGAGTTGTGGCCATGCAGGACAGTGGTCATCTTACTCCTTCCCAGGGCTCTGGGGAGAAGTGGTAGCCCCTCCCTTGGAGATTCAACCTCACCCGGTGGCCATTGAGATGCAAATTGAGGATCATTAACAACCAGCACCTGCCCCACCCTCCGTAAATTCTCTTACACTGAACACCTGAGGGAGTTTTTCATTCAATTCAGAAGCCAAGGCTCTTCAAGTAAGGGCCAGTGATAGCCTCCAGGCAAAAATCTACAGAATAACTGAACCACTCCTGGGCTTGCAACTCTGCCCAGGAAGGTAAGACATTGACAGTGGTGTTTAATGTGGGTCCTCCCACGCTCATCCAAACCCAGTAGAGGATGCCACAAACAGCAGAACACCAACACCCACAGGGAAAATTTGGCAGGCTCCAAAGCCCACTGTGATAGCCAAAATGGTGAAACAAAGAAACATATGCCAAATGAAAGGAAAAGAGATGTCTACTGAAGATGAGGTAAATAAGGTGCAGTTCAGCAAGGTAGTAGAACTAGAATTCAGAGCCTTGATCATGTGGAAGCTCAACAGCATGTGTAACGACATGAGCACCATGAGTAAAGACAAAGAAATATTGAAAATCATCCAGTTGGAAATTAAAAACCACCAACAAGAAGTGAAGAATGACATAATCACAAATAAAGAACACATTGGAAGGTCTGAACAGCAGAGTAGAGGAAGCAGAGGACTGGATCAATGAATTAGAAGACAGGTAGAAAAATATCAACCAATCAGAAAACCAAAAGAAAAAAACAATTAAAAAACAGGAAGATACCTTAAGAGAACATGGGACAACTGGAAAGGTAATAACATTCTCATCGTAGGAGTCCCCGAAGATGAAGAAAATGAGCACAAGGGTTAGAGAATATATTTGAAGAAATAGTGACAGAAAACTTTCCTAATTTGGCGAAGGAGGAAGACATTCAAGTTCAAGAAGCACAGAGCCCCAAGTAAGAAGAACCCAAACAGGCACACACCAAGACACATAGTAATAAAAATGCAAAAATTAAAGACAAAGAATCCTAAAAGCAGCAAGAGATAAGCAATAAGTTACCTACAAAGGAACCCCCATAAAGCTGTCAGCTGACTTCTCAACAGAAACACTACAGGCCAGAAGGGAATGCCATGAGGTAATCAAGGTCATGAAAAACAAGGATCTGAATCCAAGACTACTCTACCCAGCAAGGCTATCATTCAAAATAGAAGGTCAAATAAAGAGCTTCTAAGACAAAAAAAAAAAGGCTAAGGGAATACATTAGCACCAAACCAGCACTGCAAGAAATGTTAAAAGGACTGCTGTAATTAGTAGGAGAAATAGGAAGAAAATATAACCACACTAAGCAAAAATGGCAATAAATAAGTACATATCAATAATCACCTTAAATGTAAATGGATTGAATACTCCCATAAAAAGACACAGAGTAGCTAATTGGATAAGAAAGCATGACTCACATATATGTGGTTTACAAGAGACTCACCTCACAACAAAAGACTCACATAGGTTGAAAGTGAAGGGATGGGAAAAAATTTTCCAAGCAAACGGAAAGCAAAACAAAAGCTGGGGTAGCAATACTCATATCTGATAAAATAGATTTCGGAATGAAGGCCATAACTAGAGACAAAGAAGGCCACTACATACTATTGAAAGGATCTATCCAACAGGAAGATATAACCTTGATAAACTTATATGCACCCAATATAGGAGCACCAAAATATATTAAAAATCTTCTGGAAGACTTCCAAGGAGAAATTAATAGCAATACAATCATAGCAGGGGACTTCAACACCCCGCTGACATCACTGGATAGATCCTCTAGACAAAAAATTAGCAAGGAAACAGAGAATCTACATGAAGCACTAGACCAAATGGATTTAATAGATATCTGCAGAGAATTACACCCCAAAACTACAGAATTCACATTCTTTTCAAGTGCACATGGGGCATTTTCAAAGATAAACCACATGTTAGGATACAAAGTCTCTATAAGTTCAAGAAGATTGAAATCATATCAAGCATCATCTCAGATCACAGTGGCATGAAACTAGAAATCAGTTGCAACAAAAACATGAAAGACACTTGAACACATGGAGGCTAAATAGCATGTTATTGAACGATATATGGGTTATCGAGGAGATCAAGGAAGAAATTAAAAACTTCCTGGAAACCAATGAAAATGAACACACAACAACACAAAATCTATGGGATGCAACGAAAGCAGTTCTGAGAGGGAAGTTCATAGCACCACAGGCCTACCTCAAGAAACAAGAAAAATCTCTAATAGACTATCTAACCTCACAACTTAAAGAACTAGAAAGAAGCAAACAAAAAGAAAACCCCAGAGCAAGTAGAAGGAAAGAAATAGTAAAGATCATAGCAGAAATAAATAACATAGAGACCAAAAAAAGAATTCAAAGGATCAATGAAACAAAGAGCTGATTTTTTAAAAAAAATAAAGATTGATGGACCCTTAGCTAGACTTACCAAGAAACAGAGAGAACTCAAATACACAAAATCAGAAATGAAAGAGGAGAAGTAACAACTGACACCACAGAAATACAAAAGATCGTTAACAATTACTATGAACAAATTTATGGCAACAAATTTGACAATCTAAGGGAAATGGACAATCTAAGGGAAATGGACAAATCTCTAAAAACACATAGTCTCCCAAAACTGGACCGGGAACAGATAGAAAGCTTGAACATACCAATAACAACTAATGAAACTGAAGATGTAGTCAAGACTCTCCCAGCAAACAAAAGCCCAGGCAGGATGGCTTCATGGGGGAGTTTTACCAAACATTCAAAAAAGACCTAACACGCATTCTCAAACTATTTCAAAAAATTCAAGAAGAAGGAAGACTTCCAAAATCGTTTTATGAGGCCAGCATAATTCTAATGCCAAAACCAGAAAAAGACATTACAAAGAAAGAAAACCACAGGCCAATATCCCTGATGAACATAGATGCCAAAATCCTGAACAAAATACTAGCAAATCGAATCCAGTAATACATAAAAAAAATTATTTACCATGACCAAGTGGGATTCATCCCAGGGATGCAAGCCTGGTACAATTTTTGCAAATCAATAAATGTGATACACCACATAAATAAGATGAAGAATTAAAACCACACAATCATATCAATAGATGGCGAAAAAGCCTTCGACAAAATCCAGCATCCATTTCTGATAAAAACGCTCAGCAATGTGGGAATAGAGGCATCATATCTGGACATAATAAAGGCCATATATAAAAGACCTACAGCCAAAATCATACTCAATGGGTAAAAATTAAAAACATTTCCCTTAAGAACAGGAACAAGACAAGGATGCCCACTTTTTCCACTCTTATTTAACATGGTACTGGATGTCTTAGCCACAGCAATCAGACATGAAGAAAAAATAAAAGGGATCCAAATTGGAAAGGAGGAAGTGAAACTGTGATTATTCACAGATGACATAATGTTATACATAGAAAACCCCAAAGACTCCATGAAAATTTACTAGACTTAATAAAGGAATTTGGCAAAGTACAAAATTAACATCAAGAAATCAATGGCATTCTTATACACCCATGATGAACTCACAGAAAGAGAAACTAAGAAAACAATCCCATTTACCATTGAGCCAAAAAAAATCAAGATACCTATGAATAAACTTAACCAAAGAAGGAAAGGATCTATTAGCAGAAAACTACAGGACATTGAAAAAAGAAATAGAGGAAGATATAAGAAAGTGGAATCACATACCTTGTTCCTGGAGTGCAAGAATTAACGTCATTAAAATGTCCATATTACCCAAAGTAATCTATAGATTTAATGCAATCCCCATCAAAATACCCAAAACATACTTCACAGAACTAGAACAAATCCTTCAAAAGTTCATATGGAAACAAAAAAGACCTCTAATAGCCATAGCAATCTTGAAAAAGGACAACAAAGTAGGAGGGATCACATTACCAGATTTCAGGCTATATTAGAAAGCCACTGTAACCAAAACAGCCTGGTACTGGCACAAGAACAGGCATA